ATTTAATACTAATCTATAGATGTAAACACATTTGAAGATAGATTTTTGTGTTTATAGAATATTTTGACAGCCCGGACCAAGTCGGACCCAACACAAGCCAAACACTTCTGATAGAGACTATGTCTAGGATGTAGAGGGAAAAGGGCTTCACTTTGAGCCCCTTGTTTTCTTTAAATACGATGTACCGTGACATTATAAAGAGGTATATAGGTAGATTTAATACTAATCTATAGATGTAAACACATTTTAAGATACATCTGTGCGTTAAAAGTTGATTTTGACAGCCCGGGCCAAGTCGGACCCAACACAAGCCAAACACTTCTGATAGAGGCTATGTTGAGAATGTAGAGGGAAAAGGGCTTCACTTTGAGCCCCTTGTTTTCAATAAATACTGCGATCTGTGACATTATAAAGTGGTGTATAGGTAGATATAACACAAATCTATAGATGTAAACACATTTGATGATACATCTGGGTGTTTAAAGTAGCTTTTGACCGCCCGGGCCAAGTCCGTCCAAACACAAGCCAAACACTTCTGATAGAGGCTATGTTGAGAATGTAGAGGGAAAAGGGCTTCGCTTTGAGCCCCTTGTTTTCTTTAAATACGATGTACCGTGACATCATAAAGTGGTATATAAGTAGATTTAATATTAATCTATAGATGTAAACACATTTGAAGATGGATTTTTGTGTTTATAGAAGATTTTGACAGCCCGGACCAAGTCGGACCTAACCCAAGCCAAACACTTCTGATAGAGACTATGTTGAGAATGTAGAGGGAAAAGGGCTTCACTTTTAGCCCCTTGTTTTCTTTAAGTACAATGTACCGTGACATTATAAAGTGGTATATAGGTAGATTTAATATTAATCTATAGATGTAAACACATTTAAAGATAGATTTTTGTGTTTATAGAAGATTTTGACAGCCGGGACAAGTCGGACCCAACACAAGCCAAACACTTCTGATAGAGACTATGTTGAGAATGTAGAGTGTAAAAGGCTTCACTTTGAGCTCTGTGTTTTCTTTAACTACTGAAATATGAGACAATAAAGTGGTATATAATAAGATATAATACTAATCTTTAGATATAAAGAATGTTAGGAACTTTAGAAGTGCTTGGACAGTTATTAACACGTGTCGTGTCAGTCCTTTGACATTCGCGAATATCCACTTCCAGAAAACATCCTGTGTTGGTTTAACACGAATTAGTAATGGTTAATTAGGGATGCCCAACACGTTAATTAATGAAAGAAGAGTAGTCAAAACACTGTCGTTTCCTGCCCAGGACATCACACCCCTACACGCCAAGGTCGGTGAGAAGCATTCTAATCAAAGAATACACACAGTCAAGACACTGACTTTTCTACGAGACTCACGGTATGTAGTCATAATCATCAGCTTATTACATTGTTGAAGGTGCATTTTTATTCAAACTCAATTAAATGAGCAAAACTATACGTTTGTGGACATTTGAGATCTGCCTAGATATGCGCGTTTCGTTTTATTATTCTGCAATCCATTTTTAGTATTACCCGCTGGCCAGGCCCGACTTTTAGGCAATCCCTAAATTCAGTTCGTTATAACCGTAGTTCGCTATAAGTATATATACAGTATATATACAGCAAATAGCCGGGACTAAAATAAGTTCGTTATATCCATCAGTTCGTTATAAGCATGCTCATTATAGACGTAGTTTACTGTATTATTATTAGAATACCATTGTACAAATACTGGTCGCACTCCACTATATGGAGGATTCACGCGTAAGACAATGTTGTTTAACAATGGAGAACATGCCTTTTCGATGTATGTACGTACCAAAGACTTGCTGTGTGGTTTGATGAGTGAGTGAGTGAGTGAGTGAGTATAGTTTTACGCCGCTTTTAGCAATATTCAAGCAATATCACGGCGGGGGACACCAGAAATGGGCTTCACACATTGTACCCATGTTGGGAATCGAACCCGGGTCTTCGGCGTGACGAGCCAACGCTTTAACCACTAGGCTACCCGACCGCCCCTGTGGTTTGATGAAGATACCTCGTGTAGATTTCCCCGGCGCTAATGACACGGTGTCATGTTGAGTATCTATGGATGTAGCGACCTTGTGTGTTCGAGTGCGTGCATACAATTAGGTATGTGCTTATGAATGCGTGCGTGTATGTGGATGTATGCGTGCGTGTACGTGGATGTATAACGTGCGTGTACGTGGATGTGTGCGTGCGCGTTAGTGGATGTATGCGTGCGCGTTAGTGGATGTAATACGTGCGTGTTCGTGGTTGTATGCGTGCGCGTACGTGGATGAATGCGTGCGCGTACGTAGATTAGTGCGTGTGTGTATGTCGATGCCTGTACTGGTGCTTGTGAGTAAACGTGAACCTGGGCAATAATATGATTATTTCTCTGCACAAGAACCCAATTTGACCACGTACGGAATCGTATTTAGCTGACACATTCAGCTGACTTCATAGCTGTCCGTGTGTGCGCGAGGCATGTGCGTGTGCGTACATCAGTATACGTGTTATCAATTTGTTTCAAAAGGGAATAAAAAAGGAAGTCTTTGTGAGGAAAACATTCAACTTGTTTATATTCATTAATGTGTATTAATATTTAGTAATTCTCATCGATTCATGTGGGGTTTATGGGATTGTTTCTAAGACTGTATCATATTTTGCCGACTTTGCCCCATTTTACGTAACATTTTGTTATGCACTCACTCCCTACCATCACCGCCTCCAACAAATAAATGTAACATTTTCCCATGACACCCCACCCAACCCAAACCCCACCCCACCCCTCACCCCTATCCAGTCCCTAAATCATGTTAAAATTCATCAGTATATTACAATATGAAATAAGCATTTGTCTTAAGAGAGAGAAATTAAGGATGTCAACTTCTGTAGAATGAGGAACACAACGTTTCGGAGTATATGCTTACTCCTTTCTCAGCTGGATAGAGAGAGCGTAAGGTGTCGGTGGCTCGATCCCCGGCCGCGTCATACAAAAAGACGTTAAAGTATGGCACTTGTTGTTGCCCTGCCTAAGGGGATAAAATGAAAACTGGTGGGTACGGAGTCAGTATATTGTTCCTGGGTGGGGTCCATGTTATGTATCCATGTACACCATTGTATGTGTAACAAAATAGCGTTCAAGACTCTCAGGGATTTTGCAACTTAGACATAGCGTCTGCGCAAGTTGCAGCCAGATTGCAGGACATATTGAAATCCTATCTACAACTGAAGAATGTCAGTTTGTAATGGAGTCATAGCGTCCAGGGGGTGACAGGGCTATGCAAGGTGTGTCACAAGGTAATTTTTACCCAGGGACGAGTCCAAATTTACTACCCTGGTACCCACCACCCTATTACCCGACCCTACCCGGGTACCCGTTGTAGATATTTAGAGATAGGTACAAAGTGTCCGATTTGGAAAAGTTTGACCGCAGCCCTGGCAAAATGTATTTAGATACACGTGTAAAACGATCTGGTCATGCAAATACTTAAGTTTACTGCGTGAAGTTTTATCTTTATTCAAACATATAAGTCAGAAGGAATGGGTGCATTGTCAGAAAGAAATGGGAACATGAGTGACTTGTAGTGTAACCATAGAGTTTCAGATTTTTGTCATTAAACAATATACATAACGTGACTAGCCACGGGCCCGGGTAGTCCTGTGGGTACCCGAGTCCTACTCAGGACCCACCCGTCCCGAGTACCCGAGTTACCCGTTCCATCCCTAGTAATTTACTCTGATAATATCAATTCTGTTATACCTATATATCTACCCTCCCAAGGGACCAACTTTAGAATTAAAAAAATCCCATATGGGGGGGATATTCATGCATTCGGAACACACCAACGGTGAATAGAAAATACCTCGAATGTAATCTAATTTCGTTCTGATTACGAAGACAGATCCCTGTCTATTCTTGCACACGCATTACATATGCATTTATCACAGGTTTGTCTGACTGACAACTGGTTGGGTAGACGTATATGCACAGACGTACTGACATTCAGAGTTCTTATTTTTCCATTTGGAAAATGGCCCTCCTGGGAAATGCGAAACATGACCCGACTAGAAAATGATTAATTTGTTGAGGTCTGGAAGTTATGAATAATATGATATAGGTAGCGGGGCGTTTCCAGTGTGGGATATTACCGCGGCCTGCGATATCTGAGTTATGAGGTCCCTGATAAGGAGCCGATGTGGCCGTGACACGGGTCCATATGTAGATAGAACACAACAGGTATACAATAACGTGCAGCTCGGGTTGCGTCACACAAGTTCAACCCAGTGTTGATTGTTACACAACTTAGAGATTGTTGCCCTCTTGATCTTGTTTCAAAACACTTTGCAATTTGATACGGCCCCCTAAAATATTTTTGATTTCCTACCCATTCACTCAACATACAACGTGAAGAAAAGGGGGCGATATCAAAACGATTTGGGGGACAATATCAAATAGTCTTTTAATCAATGCAATGTTAAACGTCCTTGTAAGATAGTTGAAAAAAAGATGTTACATTGAATATTAATAAAATCTGTCCATCTATTCGGCTACAGTATAGAAGAGGTGCTCCACGACGAATTTTCCTACAACGAAATGTCATTGTACTATTGGCCTCGTGGCCACATATAAGAAAGATATATATATATATGTGTGAGTGTGTGTGTTGCCCAGTGAACAAATGTTCTGTGTCTTGAAATCCTGGGTTATTTTTTTTTATCTAGTATTACATTTTTCATATCAGTAAAGTTATACTTTTCAAAATACACGTAATACAGGCGGATGAGAGGTGTGCGTGTGTGTGTGTGTGTGTGTGTGTGTGTGTGTGTGTGTGTGTGTGTGTGTGTGTGTGTTCTATCGAATACTAGAAACCATTTCTTGTTTGTTTCATTTTAGCGTCCATCAAACATGGGTGTATACTTTCTTTTGCCCGACAGTTTAGATATAACTGTCACTTTTGTAGACTCTAACATAAAGTCCCAAGACAACTCACCTTGACTGTTGCCCTGACTATTCCAGCTATAAACCACACTTTTCAAATCGCTTCACAGGGAGTGCCATGCGAGTGCACGCAATAAATTCCGAGATGAATGTCCCTCACACACTGCACACCGTCCTCCACGAAAGGGGCCAGCATATTAAAACGTGGCGCAAAAAGCCGAGTAAATCTGAATGCACTTACACGGGCAACATGTGTTGCGGATAACGACAGTGCCAGCAGGTACGCTTGTAATTAAGTAGTATACCTTTCCTTTATTGTCTCACCTGTAGTTAGGCGTATATCCGTCCAGGTGAGGGGACCATCCTACTAAGAACGCTGACTGGGTATTGATCCGCGCGCTGATAACATCGCTGCTTATTGCCACGGAGGGTATTTACAACGCGTGATAAAATGGCCACCTAAGGATGATAATGACAAATTATACATCGGTTGATTTACTTTTGACCAAATGGCAGCCCATAGATTTACACAAGTAGATAAACATTTATCAAACATTATCCCCCCTGCGTTGTCTGGGTACAATTAGTAGAGGCAGTTCGTTATCAATATGTATATGTACATGAGGTTTATTACAGTACGATGAAAATTCATCAGCTTGCCTCGAGTAAACAAACATGTTTAAACACCACTTCTACATCTAGATGCTATCAGTCATTAATAAGTTCTGTTTGTTTGTTGTCAAGGTATCAAATGATGGAAATTGATTGATAAGACAGATGATGTACTAGGTGGCGTCAACAGACCATGTTGGCGGTGTACTGGATAAAGGATGTATTGAAAAACAACAGCAGTGTGTAGTCAAGTACGAACGGTTGAGATGAATTATTGATCAATAATGGCTCATGCCCCAACGATTGGTCAAACTTTCGTTTATAGTGTTGTTTGTTTGTTTATTGTTGTTTAACGCCGCACCCAGCAATATGCCAGCTATATGACGGCGATCTGTAAATAATCGATCCTGGACCAGGCAATCCAGTGATTGATATAATGGGCATCGATCTACGACAATGGGCTTGGACCACCCGATCCCGTTAGTCGCCTCTTACGAGAAGCATTGGTTGCCGTAGTCCAGTTCTATAACCCGAATATTCACAGTTTGAAAGAAATTCTTGTTTGCTTGTTTGTTAGATGTTAACACCGCACTCAGCAATATTCCAGCTTTATGACGTCGATCTGCAAATAATATAGTCTAGACAAGACATTCCAGTGATTGACATCATGAGCATCGATCTACAGAGTTGGGATGCGATGACATGTATCAATCAGTCAGCTAGCCTGACCATCCGATCTCGTTAGTCGCCTTTTACGACAAGCCTGGGTAGGACATTGATAAGTATTTGTGTGATGCTCATGTAGGTATGGACGTGTGGTCTGACATCATGTTATGATTAAAAGTGTAGAGGTAGGGTTGGGTTTTGGTGTTGCCAGTAGATGTGGGGCTGCATCAGTGACCAACTGTCAATACATAAGATGAACACTCGAACGCACGCACGCATGCACGCACGCACGCACGCACGCACGCAGGCGCGTTTTCCAGTTCCCAACACCATAAACCAAAGAAGAATGAGAGCCTCGGGCGAAGATGGTGATGACCCACACATCGAGAAACTTTGAGATAATTATATTTTGTGGGTTGCCAGACACTGAAGTATCATCCAAAAGTGAGTTGTCTCCCGTACCTCATTGTTAATGCATTGCATCATCCCTATATTTATGACACGCCACAGGCGTTTGGTACCATATCGGAAAGAAGGCGCCAGCCCACATGGACATGGCCGCTCACATGTTCACAGGTGAAGACGTTTTGTGGGGAATATTTTCACAAAGTGATGATAATGACAGCACAGAGGACCTGCCATGCGAAGATGTTCAAAGAGAATCAGGAGTTGACACTTCTTAGCATTTCGGTTGTACAAAATATCATTATTCAAAGCTTTTAAGACTCTTCATGGGTCTTCGTGTTATTTCCCAAACCCTTAATGAAGTGGCTGTGATATCCCTCTGTCACTATTACTGATAGACTATGTTACGTTTTTGTTTCCAGTGTAGGTAAAAGACTTGAGACCCGCGTGAAAATTTTAAATGAAATATTTTTGGAATTCTATTTTGCAATGCAAAGTCGTCAAAACAGGATTATCAAGGATTTTTTAATCAATGCCCCTCCTTACCTCGCCTGTTTTCTGGGGATATTTGCAGCTGCCTCAACTGCATGGGGATGACAGCTGATGTGTCTTACAGTCTTAAAACGTCCACAAATTTATCAAAACCTCAAAGAAACGGGTTGTAGAGAGCCTGACACATCGTGCCGTGGGTGTGAGAGATGGGCCATTAGAAACCTGATCCATTTCAAGCGGGCATGTCGGTGTGCATTTGACATCAATCACCTCATAAACATGCACAGAGGACAGTGCACCCATTGCACTGACACACATTGTACTGTGTCTATATGACATTTTATTACATAGACACCTACTGAAGGGTGGGTGTGATTGGGGAGTTTCTTGATTTTGTTGTTGTTGCATATCTTTTTAAAATATTTTTTTATTATTTATTTAATTATTTTTCGGGGTGTTTGTGATCTTTGGGGTTTTTTTTTTTGGGGGGGGGGGGGGTGTTCACATCCATTTTGAAAATGAACCGCCAGCTGATCGTGGATGAGACTGATGCCCCAGCTGCTCGTGGGTGAGACTGAATCACCAGCTGTTCGTGGGTTAGACTGAATCACCAGCTGCTCGTGGATGAGACTGAATCACCAGCTGGTCGTTGGTGACACTGAATCTTCAGTTGGTCGTTGGTGAGACTGAATCACCAGCTGATCGTGGATGAGACTGAATCACCAGCTGCTCATGGGTGAGACTGAATCACCAGCTGGTCGTTGGTGAGACTGATGCCCCAGCTGCTCGTTGGTGAGACTAATGCCCCAACTGGTCGTGGGTGAGACTGAATCACCAGCTGGTCGTGGATGGGACTGAATCTTCAGCTGGTCGTTGTTGAGACTGATGCCCCAGCTGGTCGTGGGTGAGACTGAATCACCAGCTGGTCGTGGGTGAGACTGAATCACCAGCTGGTCATGGGTGAGACTAAATCACCAGCTGGTCGTGGGTGAGACTGAAACTTCAGCTGGTCGTTGGTGAGACTGAATCACCAGCTGGTCGTTGGTGAGACTGAACAACAAGCTGCTCGTTGGTGAGACTGAATCACAAGCTGCTCGTTGGTGAGACTGAATATTCAGCTGCTCGTTGGTGAGACTGAATCACCAGCTGGTCGTTGGTGAGACTGAATCTTCAGCTGGTCGTTGGTGAGACTGAATCTTCAGCTGGTCGTTGGTGAGACTGAATCACCAGCTGGTCGTTGGTGAGACTGAATCGTCAGCTGGTCGTTGGTGAGACTGAATCTTCAGCTGGTCGTGGGTGAGACTGAATCTTCAGCTGGTCGTGGGTGAGACTGAATCGTCAGCTGGTCGTTGGTGAGACTGAATCTTCAGCTGGTCGTGGGTGAGACTGAATCTTCAGCTGGTCGTGGGTGAGACTGAATCATCAGCTGGTCGTGGGAGAGTCTGACAAACCTAGAAACATTATAGGATCGAACCGCGACTCTAGGTTTCTGGCGTGCCCAAGGGACACAACTCTGCACAGCGAATCGCGGCGCCTTAGATGACTGGACCACTCGCGCCCCCTAGTGATGTGGAACTAGCAGGACAAATGTTTTTTCAGGGTATACAGACCTGTATAGCCCGGACACCTTGCACTAGGGGAATGTTTGTTTATATACAATACCGTTCATCTTTTTTATAGTGAGAAAGTTGGCATTAACTGTAGCATTATTCCAGCATTATCATGGCGAGAGTTTCACAAATGGGGTTCGAACCAGGGTCTTCGGCGTGACGAGCGAACACATAAAAACTACAAGGCGATCCTAATGGAGTAAAGGAATGACAGGTCTGGGTCCACCTGAGTTGGGCGTGGTTGGGGGTCCTTGGGGTAGATGGCCCCTGACGCCAACACAGTGTACAATTAGGATATGTTTAATAAAACAGGAGACATTCAGCACCCAAGAAACGTTTTCACATCTCAAATATATACTGGTACATACTTGGTCAGTTATTTTTTTTATTCATGTCAAATGTCAAGTTACTGATGAAAACACCATTACACCTCGAAACATACAAAACGGAAATTGTTGAAGACAGAGCACACCAATTTATAATGTAAGGCTTGTTAATTGTAGTATTGCTATATATATCTCTATGAATAATTAACGAACGCAAAAGTAGTCTAGCTGTTAGCAATCAGAGCATATGTATGTATGTATGTATGTATGTATGTATGTATGTATGTATGTATGTATGTTTGTATGTTTGTATGTATATATATATTTAGAAATTACGACTTCTGAATACCGTTCACAAAGGAAAGTAATTGAGGACTTTCTCATGAGTGACGCCGCTTGGAACAGTATTCCAGTTAGCTTTATGTCGGAGGAAAGTCAGAAGTGATGCAAGTCTCAGACGTTTACCCCTGTGGTGACACCCACGACCACGGGTATGGTGCTGACAAACCTAGAAACATTATCGACGTGAACAGGGATTCGAACGCATCATCATAGATTTCTGGCGTACCCAAGGGACGCAACCCTGCATAGCGAACGGCGGCGCCTCAGACGACTGGGCCACCCTTGCGCCACGTTTTGTCAAGATGTGTAATCCATTTTCTATCTCACCAGTTGATGTGAACCTGCAGGGACCTTTACTCGCTATCAGTTTAAGATAAGTCTAAATCAGTTTCTTTCAAATCCAGATGAGGGGCGCTATAAACAAACGTGACGATGTCTGACAGCATTTCAAAGAGTAATTATCAGTTTCTTCAAAGTCTACAATTTCGCTGGTGATCCGTCGGCCGAGAAACTATGCACTATCCAATTTATCTTTACATCAACACAGAATGGTGGATTTCTGACACTCGGGTGGTACAACTAGATGTTGAAATATTTAAGTAACGGACACAAGGACTTGTGTCGTGCCCCGTCTGTTTCACAACTGGATAGAGGTCTAAGGTAAGGTGAGGTGAAATGGGGTTTAACGTCGCGTCCAAGATTATTGCACTTATATAGCGACGTGCATGTACGCGTGTGTGTTTGTGTGGCTGCCTGTACTAGTCCGGACTGATGCCGATATATAGTGCTAGCTCACTGAGATACCATGCCGCAGTTTAACATGAATACCC